TGTAAACCGCTTAGAGAGGGCTGAAAGCCCTATGAAGCGGTATATAAGTCTAACTGCTATTGCTATTGCTAACTCTTTAAAGTGATCTTTTTAGTTTTACTTTTTTTTTTGATAGGTTAAAAATATTTCAACCACTGAATACAAGTACAAATTATACATTTATTTCTATTTCTACATCAGCTTTACACCAATCTGTACAACACATTCAATAGTTTTGATTGACAATTATGTGACTTCATTTTCCCCTCCATGTGTGACATATTTGAGATCTTAGAGTACAATAATGAAACAAAAATTTTAAGAACGCATAGCTTTGTATTTGCAGCAAAAGCCTATCCAACAAATATATATTTATTTTTATTAGATTTTATTCTTTTATTCCTTTATAAATAAGACAAGGTAGTGAACATACCTATGATTATTCTCTCCTCCTATTTTCCCCACAACAACCCTATGAGGTGGGCTGGGCTGATAGAGAATGACTGGCCCAAGGCAGTTAAATGCTGTTAGGAGTCTCCTAGCTTCTAGCCTGATGTCTTAACCAATTGGTTAACTAGCTTTTTGGGTCAGAAAGTAAGGACGTGTGGATGTTATTCAACTCCTAACAGCGTTTTCCTCTATAGCTAAAGTTACTTAGACCATGTTTTTTTCTATTCAACATCATTATATTTTTATTAGGAAACAGGACAAGCATGAAACATGGCCCCGTGATGTGAATATTTTATACTTCCTCATAATCAAGTCTGTACTGCACTCTAACCACTGCGCCACCTCAGCTCTCTAATTAAATAAAAATGCAGAACTTACATGCTTACTATTTAGTAAAACAGTAGTTACAAGCATGATGTCCATAAGTTTTTTTTTATAAAAAAAAACATTTTGCAATTAATACTTAGAGAGTAATTTAACTGTCTCCGGTGCTACATAAGGATCCCCAGCACTGCAACAGGCCAAAGAGGCAGGTGGGGTTTCAGGTTCTTTTGTATTTTGTTCTACATTCTCACAATCCAGGAACTCTCTCGAACAAACAGAGTTTTTCAAATACGAATTAAATTCAGTTTTCTCCTGCAAATTTTCCTGATATTGCACTTCTTCTTGTGCAGAACTTTCAGAATCCCTTTTCATAGTTAGAAGAGGTTGATTGTTGAAGAAGTCATGGTTCAAAGAAGATACTGGAAGAAAGCATTCTAGAGCTTTGTATTCTCCGGTGCAAAAAGTCTCTTGACCAGCAATGGTAATTTTTGCAGTAGCATTGGCTTGTTTAAAGCAGTTTTCTGGATTCAGCAACTCATTCTCCCTGCAAGTATCTACTTTCAAAATATTGATGTCATCCTCACAAGATCTGTTCCCCAATATGATTTTCTGTTGAAGACAGGAAAAATGCAGATTCTAAGAATGTAAACTTCCTTTATTAGTGAAACCATCAGCAAAGAGGATATAGATAGGAGAACAAAAAGAAACATAATTCTACTGCTGTTACTGTCCACATGGACGTGGCAACAACAGAAAGAAAAGTAACTGTTCAAATGGTTGCTTGCTATGAACCATTGTTGTCTTCATTCCATCAGGCAAGCAAAGTTTTCATTTTTCCAGGCAACCTTCTGCCCTCTAATTACTTACATGATATGGTCATTTCTTCGTGTGTTCTGTTCACTAGCCTCTGTATGCAATTTAGCTAATGTGGCCAGAACAGACGATACTGCAAGCTCACACTTCAGGTCTAAAGGCAAATTGTATTTATGTATTTAAGAAAGGCAAGGTAGAGAAAGAAGAATAGGAGGTGGCAGCATCACCAAGAACAACCAATGCAATGGTTAGGGGCAGGGGTGGGATTAAAAATTTTTAGCAACCAGTTTTCTGCCCGGTTGCTGGGTGGGCATGGCCATGGGGGCATGGCCTAGTCGGCTTCCTGCACCACAGCAGGGGGAGGGGCCGGCTTTTCTTGAGCCTCCGGGAGATGAAAAAGGCCTTCCTTGGGCACCGGAGGCCCTACGCAGGCCGGAAACAGGCCTGTTTTCAGACTTCTGGTACCTCCGGTAGGCCCGTGTTTCACCCTCCCAGAGCCTCTGTGGGGGCCGTGCACTTACTTCGCATCCAAAACTGGCCATATGGAGACTCCTGGGAGGTGAGGGGCAGGATGGGTGGGGTCAGTCCTTGCAACTATTGGTTCGGCGAACCAGATTAGAATTAACAAGAAAGTTGGAGGGGGGGCGAAAGAAAGGGTGTATGGAGGGTCGAAGTGGTACATTGGGTTTGTATTTTGGGGGGCACTGTTGGCAAGAGGAACGG